CACTCTTTCTTTACTCCTTTTCATACTCTTTTCTCTCCTGTCTGATATTGTCATCTCCTGCCAATCCTCCATATACCATAAGGGGTTAGACAGGTCTAGAATCACAATTTTCAAATATCCTGATATTGTGATGCTCCCTGGGATTCTCCCTTTTACATAACCACTTGCAAAAAAAGGAAAGACTGCTCTTCAGACTCCTGAATAGAAGACTCCCCCTGTGCAGACCACATTACAAAACAGAGCAGAAGAGAGACTTTGACACACATCAGTCTACAAAAAAGAAAGAATACTTGTTCCAAGTCAAAGAAACATTTTCCAAAAAGGTATCCAAAGTGAATACCTTACTCCACGGGTAGAAGTAGAAGCGCCTCAAGTCTGAATAAAGCAGGAAATATGTCTCCATCAAAAGAACACAATAAGTTCCCTCCATCTCTTGATGAAAATGTGACCATAATGTCAGAGAGAAAATTTAGAACATTCATGGAGACAAAATTCTATCAGTTGAAACAGAAAAGGGACAATGAGCTACAGGTGAATAGAAAGTCAATCCAGGAAAAGAAAAAAGAAACAGACACTCTAAGAAAGAATCAGGAGGAACTATTAGAGATGAAATCTATAATACAGGAAATCAAAAACCCTCTCAGACGTATTAAAAGTCAATTAGACCATGCTGAATATTGAATCTCAGACATAGAAGATAAAACCTCTGACTTAGGGGGGGAAAAAAAGAGAAAAGGAAAAAAAAATGAGAATATATGAGAAAAATTAGACCCCATTAAACATCCAAACATCTGAATAATTGGTATCCAGGAAGGCAAAGAAACTAATATGGGCACGGAAAATCTGTTTCATGAAATCCTGGAAGAAAATGTCCCAAGTCTAGAGAAGCACTTACACATTCAGACACAAGAAATACAAAGGACTTCAAATAGAAACAACCCAAGAAAGTCTTCCCCAAGGCACATCTTAGCCAGACTTGCCAAGATCACAGATAAAGACAAGACACTAAAATAGGTAAGAGAGAAATGAGAAGTGAAATACAAAGGTCATCTCATCAGGCTAGCTCTGGACTTTTCAACAGAAACAATGAATGCAAGGAAAGAATGGGAAGACATATTGAAAGTGTTAAGAGAGAAACAGTTTCAACAAAGATAATTATATCCAGCAATATCATTCTTCATATGGGTAAAAAAATTAAAATCTTCTCAAACAAACAAACCTGAAAGAATTTGCCAATACCAGACCAGCTTTTAAAAAAACTCCAAAGAGAATCCTGTTCCAGGAAAACTAAGAATGATCCACTAGAAATAAGGGAATGAAAGACAACCAAGACAATGGCCAACTTAAAGTTAATGACAAGTCTAGAAATATTGATAATAACATTGAATGTTAATGGATTAAATTCTCCAATCAAGAGACGCAGACTGGCAGAATAGATAAAAAACAAAACAAAACAAAACAAAACACCAAATCCTTCTATTTGTTGTCTACAGAAATGAATCTCATTCTCATGTATAAAGACACACATACAATAAAAGTGAAGTATTGGAAAAAGTTATCCCATGAAAAGGGAACCAAAAAAAAACAAAAAGCAGGAGTAGCGATACTAATTTCTGAAAAGATAGGCTTTAAAACAAAAACTGTTTGAGAGACAAAGAATGGCACTACATTGTAGTAAAAGGTTTAATCCATCAAGAAGACATAATGCTAATAAAAATCTTTGTACCTAACACAGGACCACCCAAATATGTGAAAGAAAAGACTGTTAGATCTAAAGGAGAGATAGACTGCAACACACTAATTGTTGGAGACATCAATACCCAACTATCTCCTCTGGACAGATCATCTAGACAAAAAATAAGTAGAGAGGTAAAGGATCTAAATGATACCATAAATCAAATGGACTCAACAATCATCTATAGAACTTTCCACCCAAAAAACACTAGATAAAGTTTTTTTCTCACCCCCACATGGAACCTTTTCGAAGATTGACCACATGATAGGGCACAAAGCAAGCCTCTACATATTCAAAGGCATAGAAACTATATCCAGCATCTTCTCTGACCGTGATGGAATTAAACTTGATTTTAATTTTATGATAAATTTTAAAAAATATATGAGTACATGAAAACTAAGAAGCCTACTCCTGGATGACTATGTAACTACTGAAGAAATTAAGAATGAAATAAAAACATTCATGGAAACCAATGACAATGAGGACACGAGTTTCTACAATCTTTAGGAGACTGCAAAAGCAGTCATAAGAGGGAATTTCATACCAATTAGTACTCATAAGAAAAAGATACAAAGTTGGCAAATAGACAACCTAACATCATTCCTCAGAGAATTGGAAAAGCAACAGCAAAAAAATCCGAAAAAGCTCCAGGATAAAAGAAATAATAAGGATTTGAGCAGAAATAGATGAAATAGAAAATAAGTGAACTATACAGAAAATAAATTAAAGCAAAAGCTGGTTCTTCGAAAACAAAAACAAGGCTGACACACCATTAGCCAAACTAAGAAGAGAGAAAGGAACCAGATAAATCAAATTCACAATGAATCATGCAACATTACAACAGATGTAACAGAAATACAAAACATCATTAGAGCCTACTATGAGCGAGTTTATGCCAACATAGAAGAAAACCTGAATGAGATGGACAAATTCCTGGACACATAATCTAACAATATTGACTCAGGAATACATAGAAAGCCTGAATAGACCTATAACAAGCAATGAGATTGAATCAGTAATAAATAACTTCAGCATAATAAAAGCCATTTATGAAAAACCTACAGCTAACTTTATCTCAATGGGAAAAAGCTGAAAACTTTTCCACTAAAAACTGGTACAAGACAAGGCTGCCTACTTTTTCTGCTCTTATTCAGTATAGTACTGGAAGTTCTAGCCAATGTGATCAGACAAGAGAAGAAAATAAAAAGCATTCCAATACAGAAATAGAGTTGAAATTATCCCCATTTGCAAATGACATGATAGTAAACATAATAGACCCAATAAATCCATGAAAAAACTTCTCAAAGTAATAAATACATACAGTAAAGTCACAGAGATGGCTCAATAGTATCCACAAATAAACTTTTCAAAGGAATAAATGCATACAGTAAAATGGCAGGATACAAAATTAACTTACAAAAATGTATAGTATTTCTCTTTATTTATTTATTTATTTTTACATTTTTGGTGAACTGATCTTTATTTTATTACCTTACCTACACGTCATGCATGAATGCCTTGAGATAAGTTTTCTTTGAATAAACCCATTTTTACTAAGCAAAAGTCAAAAGGGGAAACATTAGGACTTTCTGGTGTAGGAAAAGCCTTTCAACAGTCCCTACGCAATTTTCACAAAATAAAAAAATGGACGCTAGTCTTACAAAAGTTTTGGCTTAATTTTACCAAGCACCAAGATGTGCCACGATAGTTAAGGTAAGGCAGAGACAAGTTACAAAAAAAGTTACTAATACAACTTAAATACAGCAAGCCACGACAGTTAAAAATAAGGATATAAGAAAATTCTTGGATGGTATCTATGTCTCTGAGAAGGGTACAGTTCAGTGATGAGTAAGATCTAAGAGTTTTCCAAGTACAGTAACAAGCTGGATAATTTCTAAGGCCTTAATATGACGTTTTAAAGATAATAAAAGACAACAATTGATTTGAAAAACAAAACAATACATTGCAGTCTGAAAGCAGCCATTGTTTATTTACTGACCAGATTACAAAAATAATCATGGTGGATACCTTAGTTCATTCTTCTAATAAGTCTGTTGATCTGATCTTCCCTGTTGCCAGCATCTCCACCTTCTACAAAATGAGTGGTCTTTTTCTTCATTCCACCTCATGGAGAAGATAATTTGAAGGTCCACAGGAAGTTATTTGCTTCTTTGAAGCATTTTCCAACAGTATAGATTTCATGAATCAGATTCTCCATGCAGATGATGCCGAATTCACCAAGAGATCATGCAATCAAAGAGTTATCTGTCAAAGCAATTCGCTTCTTATTGATTTCGCCATAACCACGTTTGTAGATCAATTCATTTACTGACTTCAGTTTCACATACCCCCATGCAATATATGGTTCCACAATTTTCAGCATGTTAATTGAGGCTTTGTTGAGTTTAACAAAGGTGCCATTGAAGATCTGGTGAAGACAAAGAAGCTGCAACACCTTTCAAACCTTTGGGTTCACTCTATTGATACCTCTGATCCTGATGACAAATGCCAATTTGGGTTCTGCAGGTACATGGAAGTTGCCAGCTTTTCTTGCCATTCTGGCCATGCGAATCTCAGTTCTGTACATCTTTCTGTATTCCTTATGATAGTGCTTAGCTTTTTCATAGATAAGCTTCCTCCTTGTGTTTTGAAGCATCTTTTGAGCAAACTTCTTTCTCAGGCTCTTGATCTTCAACTCTGTGAAATTTCTTCGCTTTTTCTAAAGGGTTTCTGGCACAGCAGGAACCTTTTTCTTGGTGGCTTCTGCAGCAGCAGGAGCCTTTTTCTTGGTTTCTGCTGCAGCAGGAACCTTCTTTTTCTTCTCTTGAACACCCTCCATGGTTCCAGCCAGAAAAGAGGAAGCTAGCGCATGTGCACTAAAAAATCTATAGTATTTCTATATACAAACAACAAACAGAGAAGAGGCAGAACTGAAGAAAGTAATTCCATTTAACATAGCCACAAGAAGCATAAGATATTTAGTAATAAAACTAATCAAGGAAGTCAAAGACCTCTACAAGGAAAACTATGAAAACCTTAAAAAAGAAATTGAAAAGGACACTAAAATTGGAAGGATATCCCATGTTTCTGAATTGGCAGAATCAATATAATACAAATGTCAATTCTATCCAAATTAATCTACATGTTTAATGCAATCTCTATAAAATTACAAGAGACATTTTTTACAGACCTAGAAAAGACAATCATAGATTTTTTTCTGGAACCATAAGAGACCCCATTTTGTTAAAGCCATCCTGCACAAGAAGACAGGAGTAGGTGGAATATCACTTCCTGACCCCAAAATATATTACAAAGCTGTGATAATCAAAACAGCATGGTATTGGCACAAAAATAGATATGAGTACCAATGGAACAGAGTAGAGACTCCAGAAATAAACCCCAAAACATACAACAAAGTCATCTTTGACAAAGGATACCAGTCAATCCAGTGGGACAAGGGAAACCTCTCTAGCAAATAGTGTTGGGAAAATTGGATATCCACCTGCAGAAAGGTAAATCTGAACCCCTATCTGTTACCATGAACAAAAATCAACTCAAAGTGAATCAATGATCTAAACCTAAGGCTGCAAACTATAAATACTACTGGTGGAAAACACTGGGAAAACTGAGAGACATTGGGGTAGGCAAAGATTTCTTAAGCAAGACCCCCAAAGCACAGACAATAATCCCCAAAA